AATCCACTTCCCCCAAGCGAAATAGTTGCACAAATTGAGGTACAACCTCTCCAAAGTACATGCTTGTTCAAATTTTGAAATCCGTAAACCGCCATTGTTGTGTAGCAAATACGCATGCGCTTGACCACAAGACACTTAATGCGCACGCGCAGATTAGAAAAACTGATCTCAATCCAGGACTGGACAAACCTGGACAAGAAAATAATATGAAATGTGCGAAAGCAGGGCTGAAATAAAACAAGATGACATCGAAGTGTTTTAAAAATATATTATATATTTATGGTCCGTGCATTTGAATGGAGTTCGCCAAACATTCTGAGGCCAGGAACACTTCCAAGCCAACATTACAACCGTACACAGCGGGGAGACAGGGGAGGGGGGCGATTACCCCTTGAGGAAACTATATTTACGATTTTTTGAATACCATTAATTATGTTCGGATATTTTGGGACTTTTTCGGCATATAGACCTTACTGCCCCCAGGTAAAAAAATCCTGCGTACGGCCCTGCAAACTCAGTTTTCTAAAACTGATACCGTAATTTATCATTTTTCGGGGGAGGGGGGGTTCTAATATATACAAATAATCTGTTTGCACGTGATTTTCAGTTTAATATCATAATTATCATTCAAATGCAATTAATACTTTCATGCTTCACGCGGGGGTAGAGAGAGGGTGGTGCTAAAAAGAGAAATTACGACAACTAGCAATCTTATTTATTCACTAAATTTTTCCTCGTCAATATTATTGAGTCAAAGTTGGTTAGTCCAAACGTCAAGGGCCACGCTGACTGGAACTTCATTACGACTCTGTTTTTGTATCAACCAATTTAATCCTCAAACGGCTTTTCGCCAATCCAATTTGTGCAATCATCATTCTCAGTTTATAAAAAAAAACAAAGAAGAAGGAAACAGCGTAGTAGGTTATAGGAGGTATTGTTATACAACAGCATTTCGTGACGTTTGCATTCTAAATATCTAATTATAATAACGTGCGCATACAACGCGCGCATACCAAGAGAAAGGGAGTTTCCGTCTTATCTAATTAGCATTGACAACTTTTCCGCAACACATGTCCATTACTGAAGTAAATTTAAATTTGGTATCCAACAGCACTAACACCCAAATCGGAACAAAATCAACAGATTACCTGACTCAGACTGAGTAATTTGCTCATGATCAAAAGGTCTCAAAACATCACAGCCCTCCAAAATCTCCAGAAGCGTATCCAAAATGTTTGGTCAAGGGAGGGGGGCGGCAACAAAAACCTAGGTGGGGCCATGTTTCACTTTTCTTTATAGAAGAAGGCTATTTTATAGGCTGGCCTCTCGGCCCCCAACCTGGCTATGCCTGTGAAAACGTTTTCAGCGAAACCGTCATCGGCTCTGACTCCAAAAATTGTCCATCATCGTCATCTGTTTTCCATCGCCTTCGACCTTCAAATAATCAGAGTAAATATGTTATCTAACAACATGAAGTCGCAAATCGAAAAAAGGTCAACAGATGGTTAACACGATGTGGGTAAATAGGTTTCTCTGAACTTCAACTCGGAGATATAATATACTTTACAACGTTATACAAGACTATGCAACAATATATAAGGTTATACGATACTATACAACACTATACAACATTATACAAGACTATAAAAATTATGATGCTATACAACTTTATACATGACACTATGCCACACTAAAGAAGACTATACAACACTACACAACGTTGTGCAACATTATACGACACTATAAGGCTATACGATACTATACAATGTTGATTATACAAGACTATATGACATTATATTTTTGACTATACAATACTATGCGACACTACACAATAATATATAAGGCTATACGACACAATACAACGTTATACAAAACTATACAATACAGCTATATAAGGCTATACGACACTATACAGCGTTATACAAGACTATATGACTGTATACAAGAGTATACAACACTATACGACACTACACAATAATATACAAGGCTATACGACACTATACAACATGGCTATATAACGTTATACCAGACTATATAACGATTTATAAAGACTATACGACACTATACAACACTGTACAACTTACACTATATATACTATGGGATTTAATGCAAATACGACTCGTCAAAATGGCGGGAGCTTACAGTAAACTTTTAATATTAGTCTATTTTGGAATAATATAAAAAAAAATAATGAATGTTTATTCGTGCAATGGTGTCGCCTCGTTGAATGGAACATTCCATCTTTCACCTCATGAAAATATTCTTACCATGAAGCAATAATTAATTCGTATCCTCTGTTACAATGTCGTGACAATTTGTTCGGCCAAAAACCGCTTTGCGCTGAAAATTTAAAATACTCTTGTTTTACAACTCGAAGACGAAGTGAAAGAAATGGTTTTAAAATCGGTATATCTCACAGAAAAGCTCAGATATATTATACAGATGTTTGGTAGCATAGTAAATGCTTGTTAACTGCAAATTCATTTGCCTTTCATTGCAAACTTTTCTGAACAATTTATATTCTTAATGAACATGTTTTCTTCGCTGTTGTTTCGGTACTAATTCTTTAAAAAACTTGTATTTAAACTAATTTCTAAATAATAAATGTATTTTGCTAACCTGTCAAATTTTTTTTGAGAGTTTTTCCTTGTACTATTATCTTTCTCAAAGCGAATATTTTCCTTTTTTCTGCTTCGCAAAACTCATTTAGTTTTTGGACCGCCATCTTGTTTTTCGCTACTCGCCGGCGAGTAATTCAACCAATCAGATTGCAGAACAGCTCATGCATATACGGTGAATGACTATATTATAAATAGTTATATACCCTGTGAGCAGAGCTGTAATATCAAGTCTTCAATCATTTTCACGTTTTTCTTCGTAAATCATAACAACATTTGCCAACATTGAACATGCCTGCATCATTCTGTCATGATATTTAAACAGTCAATATAAACTTATTACTAATAAGTAAACATTGTCAACACCGTATACTAATAATTGGCTAGAACGTACCTGCAAAAAAAAATTTCTAACAAAATTATTGACTTTTATTTGTGAATAAATTATCGTTTTTTATATTTTTCATCATGGCGGAAAGTACAGAACGAGAGCTTTACGGCGATTTACGAGCAATTACCGGCCATCAGAAATCCAAATTTCTTCTATATTTTGAATCAAGCTGCATCGTTATAACTCGGTCAAGGAAACTGGCACGAGTCATAACGTATGCAAAAACCCGCATGCATGTGGGCTGTTGGTATATTAAATGAACAGGAAGTTTACGTTAGTTACTGCACTGTTACCCTGAAAACATTTGGCTTAAGTTCGGTTGTAGTAGTGTTTAATACCTATATGCTGAAATAAGTACCAAAATGTCAATGCATTCAAAGGCGCTATATCAGTTAGTTCTATGCTTATAGGGCAGTCTCATACATTCTGATTCACATATTATAAGCGCCGTTTCCCCTAATAATATGTATAAGTTTATAAGATTAGAAAGTTAAATTTTCTTTCTGGGGGGAGTTGCTGCCTCCCCTCGACCCGTTGGATACGACTCTGGTCATAAGCGTATACAGGGAATGTACATTCTCAAGGCTCATAATTACTACATTTTCAACACTCTACATTTTCAACGCTGTGATACATTTTATACAAGACTTTACATTTTGAAGACTTTACATTTTTGCATATGATACAACTAAATACACGATACAAGTAATAAATAAATTAAATAGTATTTCATATTCTTGAAAATCCTAAAGGAAGAATATGAAGTAATAAATTATTGTCTCAGTTGTGGAATATTATCAGCCTTTTTCGGTGTAGATTTTGCTATAATCATAAAAAAAAGTTATTTACGAGCATAAAAGTGTGATATTAGCGATGATTAAAAGCATGCATGTGCGCATGCCAAAAACTCGTCCTTGCAATGATGAATGCGTGCAACGATAGATATTTTATATACATTAGATAGTGCATCTAATTATTCTGCAATTCAAAAATTGAAGCCGTGATTGCAGTCTCAGGTCGTTCCCATGAAATGAGAAGATTCGTATGTTTTCTATTTCTTAAACAGAGAACTTAAAGGACATTGGCAACGAACATTTTTATTGGTTATTTCAATCCTACTTGACAACCGAACTATGAAAATATTATCATTTCCGTCTTGAACATTTTAGTCTACGAGTAAAATGCATGCAAACTTTGTGTTTCGGACAGTTTCGCCGCCATCTTGGAAAATATCTTTGAAAAATTATCTCGAAGGTCAATGAACTTTGTGACGTCATTGGCTGGGTAGCACCAAAACTACAAGAGAGAATTCTATTGCGTGCGTGTTATGTTAGCTAAAAATATGTCGTTTTGAGCGTTATACTGGCCAACACTCTTCGCAATCAAACAGGAGAAGTCTACACTATCAGATAAAAACATATCGAGCGACTGAGAAAGCAAGAAATGGCGCAATTTACAATGCAGGTAATTGATCATAAAATATTGCAGTAGTATTTGCCTTGTTACACTCGAATTTCTGCGCTTATTTAACACGGAGTATACTATGAGAAATGGTGTTACAAACAAGTTACATACTTGGTAAAACTTTTCTGCTTTTTGTTTTGGCTCAAAATGCACTACGCGTGGTAATACACGGTATTGTTTATAGTCACGAGATTGTGTTTACCCAGCCAATGACGTCAGATAATGTTTTTGTAGCATAAATTAGCATACGCGCTTATTTTCAAAATGGCGGACAACTGTTCAAATTTTCTCAAATTCAATCAAATTTTCTCAGCAACTAAACGCGACAAACCGGCCAAAATATGAAATTAAATATTCCGTAAGTATACCTAATAGATATAAGTAATAAAAATTTTGGTTGCCAATGTCCTTTAAACGTTAAGTTAACCCTATTCCAAATACGTTTTTAAACTATTCAAATGATTAAAGTTATTGTTGTTTTTAAGCGTTTATTAGCAAGTGGGAACGACCAACATGGCCGCCATCTATTCAAATGGGGGTTACCGCTGGAGTATTTTTAGCTTCAATTTTACTAAAAGAGATGCGCTATCTAGTGTATATAAGATATCTATGCGTGCAACACATGACATCTCTATTTATCTTCAATATCCTTGCGGCTGTTTTTCACACACACGCACGTCTTCCCCATAGACCTTCCACATACACCAGGACCCATCACCATTGTACAAAACAACATTGTCTCCTCCATTGTTATTTCCGTAATTCAAGTTTAACACGGTGCCCTTCAACCTGACCAAGTCATCTACGCAAGCCCACACTTGATATGTGTCATGGCGATCACACGTGGACAATTTCACACGGACCCAGTTTACTGGTGTTTCACGTAGGCTGAGACATGTTTGATTGAAAATACTTTGAAGTTGGTCATATTGTGTCCAGCGCCATCTTTGATTATCTGTCATCGGGTTGCACGGTCTTGCGGCGATTCTTTCATATTCAATTGAGATGCACTTGTTATGATATGTGTTGTACATGAGAAATTCTTTAGCTGGTTGTGCTAAGTGGCAAAAAAGATACGAGTTAAAAGAAAAATCACGGTAATGACCAATTCGACCAATTCGAGTGAAACGGTTTTTCTTGAAACAGATAAACAGGCGTGGGAATTTCGGAAGCGGAGCCCATTCGCTCGACGGGGAGACTCCTTCCAAAATTCTTTTACTCTTTGAAGGAAAGCCATTAAAGAAAAAATCTCAATGTCCACAAAATTTGAAAAATCTTTGCAAACATATAATTGATAATCCTATATATATGCATGAAAAATAAACTTGAAATATAAAATATTCTGTCTATTTTAATGAGTATCACTATGGCATTATGTTGATTCCAAAGCAGTGTATTTTTAATACAAATTAAAGTGCGCGTTAATGGATTTTTAAATCATATATCGGAGCCTTACGGCCAGAAATTACGGACATAATCAATTTCTTTCTGAATTTCTTATCATAGATCGAAAAGATGGACTGCACAACGCGATGGTGTAATCGATTAATCTGGGAATGAGATAGAACGTTTTTGAAACTTTTCAAAATCGCCAGTTGCAAAACAAAAACCACTAGCCGGTTCTCCTAATTATTATGTATTCTTAATGCAACTACCACGGATACTTTGCGGGTATTTTCTTCATTGTGGACATTATGCAATAACACGTCCGAAATGCATGCTGGTAGTTGTATTCGGAATACGCTGAATAATGGAATCGGCTATTGAAGTCGCTAATTAACTATCCGGCTTTTTTATATTTGTATATAGATTAATAATTAATCTCACTTCCCCCAACCCATAGTCACTGCGCACAGACTGTCCCTCACCCCCCCCCCCCCCCCCCCCCCCCCCCCCCCCGTGGTAGAAGGATAACAGTCTGCGACCATTTATAATGCTGTACAGTGACGTAGTCGTATAAATAAATATAATATTGTGCACTTCAGCACTTTAGTGGTTTTCTAATTTTATTATCCAATCAGGTGCGTTACTTTAAATAGAACTTATATTATGTAAACACGGTCAATAGGCAATAGACAAGGTCAAGCAAAACATTACAACGAAATCGAAACATAAACTCGAAAAAAAATATGCCAGATTTGTAAATTCTACCATATTTATTCATCCCAACAAATTAAATGCTCTTTTGTGTGGCAATGTCTGCCCAACAGCATCCAGAAACTTTATGTAATCGGTAAAACCGGTATAGTTGTCTCGAAATTAGCTAAGCAAATTTATGCAAGTAAAATTTTGAAACGAACCAATGAAAACCCGATCATATTTCGCCGGTAGCTGTACGGCATTAGCGTCGAATGACAGCAGACTGTCATCCCGTAAGGGAGCGGGATGCAGTCTGCGAGCAGACTACCCAACCCGGGGACAGGTGTGCTCTGTATTTGCCATAGATTTAGGAGATCTAGATTGCCAACGCATACCTAGCGCTGGCGGGGCCTACATGATAAATCCAAAATGGCAGTACAACAGGGCAAAAATACTATAATTTCTATTACGAAAATCAGGATTTTTGCATTTTTTGCCGTCGCATTGTTTTGAAACTTATTCGGTCAAATTTTATGGTAAAGAGAAACTTACCGCGAAGATTTTGAGCATATATATGATTGAATTGGATGAAAACTAGCAAAATTATCCATCGATAAAAGTTCGTGTATAGTAGTGATATAGCACTATATAATTTATGTAACTTGTACAGTTTTGTTTTAATTTTTGCTCACTATTTGCATAAAAAGCAAATTATAACAGACCATAGATGATAGACCCTCATCAAGTGCTCTCATCAGTATACTTCTCTAACAAGCAAGGAGGGGCGAGAGGGGGGGGGGTACATAACAGTCCATTTTTTATAATTATGAGGACAGAGCAGATGATGATGAGAGATGCAAGTATAAAGCACCATTCGCAAGACTAGATGTTAACATAGCACAGTATTTCTGGCAATAAAACGCTCCAACTGACCAACTGACCATTTCACACTAACTTTTATCGCTGGGTAATTTTGCAATTTTTCATCCAATTCAATCATATATTATATGCTCAAAATCTTCGCGGTAAGTTTCTCTTTACCATAAAATGTGACCGAATAAGTTTCGAATTTACAATGCGACGGCAAAAATGCAAGAATCCTGATTTTCGTAATAGAATCTATAGTCTTTTTGCACTGTTGTACCGCCATCTTGGATTTATCATGTAGGCCCCGCCTGCGCTAGGTATGCGTTAGCAATCTATATCTCCTATATCTATGGTATTTGCCACATTCCAAACACACACGTAAACTTCTACCTTGGGCATGACGTTTTGGTCAAAACTCGACTAAATAACACTTACCTCGCGCAGTTGTTGTACAAAAAGACGTAAATTCCAATATGAACCATTCAGCACGGAGGTCCACTTATTCAAAATCGCAAGCATGCATGCATAAAACAGAAATTTGCATTCAAACTCGCGCTGCGTTAGAAAAAAATTATTTATTGCCGTGATCAAGTGATTATATAGTACCTTGAAATGAGTTCAAGGTAGGCTTGAAGTGACACTAAACACAGCTCGATTTGTGTTGAGTATGCTTGCATGCTGATAATAAACGTTTTGGACAGGATCCTAATACCTCTAACCTGGTGACCAAAGGCACGCCCCCTCCCCTTACGGGTATTGGTAAGAAAATAAAATCAAATCCCCGTTACTGCCAAAATTACACTAGATTCGTCGCCAGACAGTTTAACAGCCAGCTGATTCGATCAGTTAGAAACGAGCTACCTTTTTCAGATTTTGTAATATTCAACATCGACAGTTTGTTCTAATATCAAATGGAACACACCGTTACGTACGAGCAAGTCACTTAAGCCAATCGCATGCTTGGCATGCTTAATAAATATCTACCTCACAACTGCAAGATCTCATCTTGGATATACCGCGCAAGTTTGAAGTCCACAAACTTTCACCATGTGACTGTATGAACATAATAGTACTTCATTCAGCAAAATTTTAAAATTCGAAATATAACCTGGTACAACCCACCGTTCAGCAAAAATGTCGCTACTAATATTGGTCAGACCTTTTTAAAGATTCTAGACGAGGAATTTCCCGCAGGCCATATCTTACACAAGATATTCAACAGAAATACCGTCAAAATTAGCTACAGCTGCATGAGTAATTTTAAACAAAACATCGACGGACATAATAAATCCAAGCTATCCCACCGAGCTAAAACCACCGAGGAAAAAAAATGCAATTGCCAAAAACCAAGTGAATGCCCTATGTCAAAAAATTGTCTAGCAAAATCTGTTATCTACCAAGCCACAGTAAAAACATCTGACAAGCGGCCCACTCAAACATATGTTGGACTAACAGAAAATGAATTCAAAACTCGATACACCAATCACAAAGCTTCATTTAATAACTATGAGAAGCGTAATTCTACTGAATTAAGTAAATACATCTGGAATCTTAAGAACAATAATATTAGTTACTCTATCGGATGGAAAATTTTAAAACGCGCTAAATCTTACAGTAATGCATCCAAGAGATGTAACTTGTGTATCTGGGAGAAGTATTTCATTATTTGTAAACCGGACATTGCAACACTTAATCGTCGCAACGAACTTGTCTCCACGTGTAGACACGCTAATAAATTTCTACTTAAAAACTTTATAACTTGATACTAATATTTTCGTGACACTACTTGAGGTGTTAATTGATTTGTAATTAGATAAGCGTCCATTATACCATCTGTACATATTTAAAAAGTTCGTTAAGAAGCTATAGGTCAAACATAGGCTATTTTATCTGAAGAGTGCCACGTTATTTACGTGGTACGAAACTGTATAGTAATAAATATGCCAAACAAAGCTTGCTAAGTTTTTGTGTCTTTCTATTATGCTCTGGTTTTCCATTAAGCACTCTATCATTGGTTTTTATAACCTAACACAGACTATATTATATATATATGTATATATATATATATATATATATATATATATATATATATATATATATATATATATATATATATATATATATATATATATATATATATATATATATATATATATATATATATATATATATATATATATATATAATATATATGAATAGGTTTTGATTGTCATGCCTGGATTATTTCTGACGGTTGGTTTATTTTAAACCAAAAAAGGGACTTCTTCAGGCAAATTGTGAGATTATTTATTAAATTCCTCAGACGTTTCGCCGGTTAAGGCTTCATCAGTGAGTACAATAATCTGAATAATAAAATCGTCCTCTATATATACATGCATTTATCGCTTGATTGAGAATGTAAAAGCTAAAGAATGTTGTTAAAAATGTTAATTTGAGTTCTAAGTTAAAATTTTTTAAAATTAAGTTAAAAGAGTGATTGTTATTATATTGTTGATTGTACCATAGGATATATTAGAAGCCTGATTGTTCCAATTAGTCAAACTAGATATTGATATTACGTCCAGCACAACCATTCATAATTCTGTCCGAATAATTCCGAATCTCAAGTGCTTCGATCACTTCACGCTCATACCGGTAATTTATATTTGAATGGAGGATTTTCCAACTTATTGTCGACTCGCTTTGTGGGTCAATATTGTGAGTTCTAAGCTGTACATGAACTGTTTGTTTGTCCATTCGGAGATGTTCCTTTATCCTCGATCGTATTGTTCTTTCGGTTTCTCCCACATAAACCAGATGACGATGTAAACAATTAATAAGGTAGATCGCATTCTTAACCTTGCATACATTAGTTTTAATTGCTAGTTTACAAGTATGACAGTTATCGGGGCAACTTAGCTTCTCTTTACGTGGAGCAAATATTTTTGATAGGGATGGTCCATTTACAAACTGTAATCTAATGTTTTCAAGTCCTGATCTTGACGTGATGTGAATTATCACCACTGAGCGGCAAAGATTTCGACGCATTGGTACGTCTATGTCTGACTAGTGATACTGTTTTAATTAATGGCAAAGGTTATAAACAAAAATCGGGATTAGCGATGGGGAACAATCTTGCTCCGATGCTGGCTATTATCTATATGAACGAGTTGGATAAACAAATAATTAATAGAATACTGTAATCGTTCTCTTTTCTTACGACGATTAATCGATGATATATTTATTGCATGGACATCAAATTTAATTACCAGTGATAGCTTATTGAAAACGATGAAAACATAGCTACATGTCCACTAAGGGGCCGATTACATTTCTTCGCTTATGCTCCACTAAATCCAGTCGATTCACTATCTAAAACTTTAAGCGTTTATTTTTGTGCTATTTTTGGTTATATTTTCAAAATAAAAACCGTGCGTTTGCAAATTTCAGCCCAGTATGCCGGGCTGATGCGATTACATGGCGAATTTCAGCCTGGCTAGCCGGACCAGCCCGGTTGCGACAACCGCGATCCCGGCAAAGCGGGCTGGCCCGGCTGCCATGTAATCGAAGTATATAGTATATAGTAAGCGTGCTATAATAATAATAATGGAAACTTTATTTATTGATTATTAGGATATATACAACTACAATGATAAACCTCGCTTTACAGGCAGTTTATCAATGTCTACTTGAATTGATACTATATAATAATAATAATAATAATAATAATAATAATAATAATAATAATAATAATAATAATAATAATAATAATAATAATAATAATAATAATAATAATAATAACAACAATAATAATAATAATAATAACAACAACAACAACAATAATAACAACAACAACAACAATAACAATAACAATAATGGAAACTTTATTAATGGATTTTTTTTAAGTTACATACAATTGTAAATCTCACTTATATAAGGTAATTCACAATCGTCTACTTGAATCAATAATAACTATACATACACAATATAACAATAATAACAAACAACAAATATATAGTACAATTTTTAAAAGGTTAATAGTTTTGGATTTGTTCATTCTTTCTTTCTGCAGCAAAATATATAGTAAGTTGTTCTGATCGCAATCGTCGTCATTCGTCTAAAGCAGTATTTTTGGTGGTTTTACCGAAGCCAAGATCATTAAGCAGATAGATAAAATAGGTAGAGCTTCAATAGTCATATTTAGGATGATAATCAATTCATGACGCGATGCATTAAATAACGTTTAGTCATATTACAAAATTGATATCGATTATAATCACAACAAACGCTTATAATTATCAAATGGTAAAGCATTGAAAGAGCTTGATGATTCCTGCAAGGTGTTAGATATTAATGGAATATGCAATTTAGGAGCAGAGCATGACCGTAGTGTGCGGGAGTGACTTACTCTAATTAGTTTAAGGTGATTAGGCCAATTATCACTGTACGGAGCTTTATGAGTGACTTTAAGTAAATGTCACTCCCTTCTTTTCTCCAAAGGTAACCAGCCTAGTTTAATAAGTTCCTTAACGTCACTGCATGATCCATTTAGAAGCGACAAAACCAGCTGCCGCATACTGTACACGCTGGAGCCTTTTAGCTAAATATTTAGGAAGAGGATTATATACAACATCACAATAATCTAGCTTTGTAATAACTAGTGCCTCGGCAAGCTAGTGCCTCGGCAAGCGCGCAAGCCCGGTTCATGTAATCGGCCCCTCACTATAACCTCAACATCACTAGCACCCAACACTGTTCTAACACGCAAGCAACCTTTTGTATAACTACATACAACAGTATCGCATAATGCTCTATTTTTCATACCTTTTCGATTATATAAATATGGTTGAACTCAGGGTTATGGAGACTTCCATCAGCGTCAAATACTTCTTCCAATGTTTTGCTGTTGAGCTCACACAGACCTTTACCGATTCCAGACGTTTTATAATTTACTGATGCACATGATCCATCAGCGACGCAATGCATGTTACACTCTAGTTCGGTTTCTGCCTGTCTTGTTTGAATGACATGATTCGCTAAGTAAGTTTGCTCCTTTGTATGAAAGATAGCTTGCTC